AAAGATTTCTTTGAAGACTCTTAGCTAAGCAAGACTCTTTGAACTGTTTCACTTAATTTTTAATTCTATTTTTCAAAGTCATCTCTTTAATTTAAAATAATATCTACAAGCTCCTCTTTTGCAGATAATTGATTGTATTGATTAAATATTTTATCATTTATATCATAGAAATCCTCAGTATACTTCATCATTTCTGACTGCTTTACTTCAAGTTTTTGATCAATCATTACTCTAAACTCTTTAAAAAATGCCTGGATTTACCTTTAGGTTTCTTCTTTAAATGAAGTTCTTTTAGAAATTTGAATTAATTCATCGTAGATTTAGTCATCGTTGATAACAGGCCAGTTTCTAAATATGGTTTTTTTATCTCCATCAAGCAAAGTTAATAATGGGATAAAATTTCTATTATTACTTTACGCTAAACAATCTACACATTTTAGTTTATATTTAGACGAAGTATCGGTGCTTAAGAATTATAGCTTCCTGTTTGAGTGAGTTGGACACTTACTATAATTGTTAGCTAGAAAAAGTTCTTCTTTAGAAAAAAGTGTTTCTGAAGATTTCTGCAAGATATTCATTTTTAGACTTTCTTCTTAATTGCTTTGCTAATAAAAATACAATATTTAATAAGATTGATTATTAATTTTTTTAGAAAATTAATTAGATACTTACTTCCCTCCTATTTATTGCTTTTTATTTATTTTTCAAAGATATTTAAAGAGAAGAACAAAGAGTGATTAATTAGTATTGAAATAAAATAATAAATGATAATTGTTTTTTTCTCTTTGACCTTCATTTATCTTAAAATATTCATTAATATTATTAAACAATTTTTATTCCTTATATGAAATATCTTTTTTTTAAAAGGATAATTTAACTAAAAATCTGCTCTAATCAGTAATTAATTTTGTTTTATAAATTTTGTATAAAAATATATAAAATAAGCATATAAAAATAAAAATAAAAAAAATGTTTTATTTATCATTTCTTTCTTAAAGCTCATAAAAATATCTTAATAAATAATTTTTTTTTGTTCAAGTATTTAACAATTTGTAGCATTTTGCACTTTTAAAAATCAGCTATTATTCAAAAAAGCAAATAAAATATTTATTAAACTAAAAATTAGTTCAATTAGAGGTAAAAAATTATTTTACTTGTCAAATTTTACTTGATGATTATTTTAGAAACTTTAAACAAAAATCGAAAATTTTAATTTTGAGGGTATTTCTTATAATTTTTTTAATCTTTAGTAGATAGATAGATATATATTTTTTGTAAATTTAAATAAATTTCTATTTTTAATTTTGTATTTTTATATGATAAAAAAATAGAGTCAATATACAAATTAATTAAATAATAGGAATTTGACTACCTAAGATTAATTTTTAAAGAAGAGAGAGAAATACAACCAGCTACACCAAGACCTAAATTTGAAGAACCAGGTGGCCCGATTTAATTGCTACTTTCATTTTTGATATATTAATGATATTATTATTGTATAATTTACAACTAAAAAAAGTAATTAAGCCAAATAATACATAAATTTTACAAATTAAACAAGAACAATTAATGAATTTTGTTAATTTTTTAAAAATAATGAAGTGGAATAATAAATAGATAAGAAAATATATCAACCAAAAAGTAAATTTTAACAATTAAATTACAAACTTACATAATTTAATAAAATGATTAAAAACTTAAAAATGAAATAAAATTCAAAAAATTAAAGTATTTCAATAAAAATAAAAAGATTTAATTAAATGAGACTTTAGTATTTACATTTTAAGCAGTAGTTTACAAATTAAAGAGCAAATTTATTAATCTTTACAAGAGTATTAAGGTCAAAGATTCCATTTTAGTAAATGATTACTATACACTGATGTGCCTTAATCACAAATTTAATTGCCACTTTTAACAATTTTAGTAATTAAAAGAATAAACATATTAAAATTATTAAAATTCAAGATTAAAATTAACAAATAATGGTTTTGTATTCAAAAATATATCTTTATTTTTACCTAATAGAAATATGAAGATTAGAGTGACAAAAAATCACTTTTTTAGAACTATTTTGTTTCAAAAAGTAAATTTAAGAGTTAATATTTGAATAAATAATAAATTAATTTTACTGTTAATAAATTATCAAAGTATTTTAAGCAATTCATTTTTATTTTCAAATAATTTTTAAATATCAATCTAATAGAAATAAATTTAATTAATTAATTAAAAGTAAAAACAAAATTAGTCTAAAGTAAATAAATTCTCATTTATTAAAATATTTTAAAGATTAAAAATTCAATTATATCTACTTAGCTTTGTATTTATATTTATAAATACAATAAATATATATGCTAATATATGAAAGATTGGGATTTTATATTTTGGAGTATTATGGCTCATTGATTTCAATTATTTAATTTATGAATAATTATGAATTGTATATCCTAAACATCCCTGTATTTATAATATGTATTCAATTTAATGGTGATTTTTTATCAAAAATATAATTTTCAGATTAATGAATTTAAAAAAAATAAAATTTGAATATGGGGATATTTATGAGGATTTAAATTAAGATTTAATTTGAAAGAGATAAACTGATGTACTAACAGATTAATCTCTCAATAGTAATATTTTAAATTTTTCACATAAATTAAATTATAAAAAATGTTTACTTCAATTTTTTTTTTGTGTTTTAAAATATTTAAAAAAAAAGTAATAAATTTAAACTATCTATTTATTACATGAATTAATTAATTAATTTTATTGTTTATTATTTGATATATTTTCATCCATTAATATTAACTAATATTTAGAGAAAGAGCATTTTTAAAAATATAAATTCTATCTAAATTATTAAATTTTCTTATTTTTAAGATTTTCTAATTCAATTAAAAGTTTAAAATGAATCATCACTTACATCTGATATTGTTTCAACCCCCAAAATAAAATTTCCTTTAATACATGAAATTTGAATACAAAAATTATAATCAATATCTTGTATCTTTTCAGCTTTACATGAGTTTATATGGTAATAATTTGGATAACTACAAAACTTTAAAATTCTTTTAGAAATATTAATTCTCACTTCAATTCCTTATAATCTTTTTCCTTCATCACATAAATTTTAACCTTTTTCAATTATATCTAAACCTTTATTAGGTTAACTTGTAAGAAAGCATAAATCATATTATCTTAGTTATTGTTCAAAAGCTTTTGATTTTTCCATTATTCCTATTGCTATATGAAAATAAGCATCAAAACTTTAATTTGTTGTCACTCTAAAAATATAATTTTTATTAATATCTAAGCTATCTTTTGTAATTATCTATCCAGTTATTTTACCTACTTTAATAATTTATAAATTTCCTTGTACATTTTTTTTTAATTAAAGCATTTTGCTTTCATCTTAATCTGTAGGTATGAACTCTATTACATTTTTTTGTTAAAAATAATTTTAACTATTTAAGAGTTCAAATATAGGATAATTAACAAGTAGTTATGATATTTATTTGCTAATATTATTGTCATTAATCATATCTTTTAAATTTTATTGAACTTAAAAAGAATTATTTTAGTATTGTTAAATAGGATTTTAACTTTACTAATAATTTATGCCATATTAATTTTATAATTATGCTATTTTAGCAACTAAAATATTTATATCTTTAAGCTATTTATCCTATATGTCTTAAAAATTGATTGGATTACAATTTTCTTAAAATATATTTTTATCTTGCAAATAAATATGATTTATACATTCAGGGAACTTCTAGGCTGCAGATTAACAATTTAAAG